CCCCAAAACCCCAAAACCCCAAAACCCCGTGAACATATTTATATGCCAATTGAAAATTAACTTGATGAAAAATAAATTATCATTTAGCCTTAATAGCTCTAACTTCAATAAAAGATCCAACAACAGATGCAATATTAACTCTTTCATTACTGCCCTAAGCAAGTCTATATTCTATTTCTGCCATTCTTGATATCAGATACATCTTCATTTCATCAGTATACTTAGTAATCATTACTTATTTGTGAAGTTCACTGATTATATCTTCTAGAGATAGCGATTTTTCAGTCTTAATAGTCTAGATAACCTACAAGGCCTTGTTGAATCTATCTTCATTTAAAGCTACAAATATTTGATTGATATCATAAGGAGATGGCCTGCCAGTCACATCATAAACAGCTTAGAGATTGATTTTCTAATGAGCAAGTGAACAACTCTCTAGTACATTAAGCACTTTTCTCATATCACCTCCACTCAGATTTACAATGGCTTCAGCTGCACTAGGCTCAAGTTAAAGATTTTCAAGCATAGCTATTTCATTAAGTCTACCCATAATACTCTCTGGACCCAGTGGTCCAAATCTGAATCTTGTGCATCTTGATTACAATGCTGGAATAATCTTTGATACGTAGTTGCAAATAAAGCAGAATCTAGTAGTCTTTGTATATTTCTCAACAACTACATAGAAAATTAAAGTTTAATTCCAAAATTACTTCTTCTTAATGCAAATTAGGCAGATGATGTCATTGAATCACATTCATCAAGGATGACAAGTTTAATTCCTTTGCTCATTAACTGCTGAGTTGAACAGAAACTCTTTATTTAGTCTCTAACCACATTAATACCTCTATCATCTGATGCATTCAATTCCAAAATCATGTTTTTATAATTAGTATTTCCATATAGATGCTTAGCGATTGCAATAATACCTAATAAGAATTAAGAGAAATAAAAAATTACAAGAAGTTTTTCCTGTTCCTGGTGGACCATGAAATAATAAATGGGGCATCTTTCTGGTCTCAATAAATTTCCTGACTGAAAATATATTATGAAACAAATTTCTTTACTAGTATTTATTATTTCTTCATGAGAAATGATGCTCTGAAGATCATTAGGTCTATATTTCTCCACAAATGGTAATTTTTAGGTATTCTAATAAAAAGAAATCATAAATGTCAATAAAATGCTTACATTATGTGAATCAACTTCCATTTCCCGCAAATATTAAATTTACAATTTCAATAATCAACATAATTTATTAAACTCCGGGGTTTTGGGGTTTTGGGGTTTTGGGGAGATCGGAAGAGCACACGTCTGA